CGCAGGGGCGCGCCTCTCCCACCCCGCCCAGGGTGGCACCCGAGACAACTCGGGAAGGAAAATGCCACTTGCTTGTAGCTCTGGGGGCGGTCAGGGCCTGACTCCAGGGTGCCTGGTGGCTCCTTCCTACAGGACTGGCTGCCCACGGGCGCCTTGCACATACAGACCCCAGGTCTAGCGAGCCACGGGTGAGGGGGGGACAGTGTCCAGGCTGGCTCAGCCTTGGACCACCCACAAGCACAAGCTCAGGACCCCCCTTCGCCTAGTGGGAAGGCACGGAGCTGCAGGCGCCCCTTGGGGAGTCTGGCTGCACCCCCATCGCCCGGAGAAGCCCTGGCTCTCCCCAGGCTCCGCGCCAACCGCTCCCTTGCGCCAGGGCCTCTCCCACCAACACGCTTCAGCGGGCACAGTGGTTCCCACGCCCTCCCCACCCCACCGCCACTGCAGCTGGGTCTCGGCCAGGGAAGACAGAAGCTTCCACCCTTCCTTGGTGAGCACAAAGCGCCTTTGCGGGAGGTGGCGGGGAGCGCTTCTAGACACTGGGGCACAGAAATCAGAGCCAAACGCGGAGGCGCCGGCCCTGAGACCTCGCATCATCCAGGGAAGCGCTTGGAGGGAAGAGTGTGTGTGGGCAACATCGGAGCCAGAAATCGGAGTGCTGCTGGCCTGTCCTTCGAGGGGGCCTCCCCAAGTGGGTCCACAGGAGACTGCCCAGAAACACCACGCTCCCCAGCCCAACCCTCTGTACCCAGTGCCCCCTACTTGGGGAGCAGCTCACCCCAGTGGTAGGCAGCCCCGAGGCTGCCCCTCCAGGCTCCGCTGTGACACTTGTCCCTTCCTGAGCAAGGGGGTCTGGGCCCTGGGCAGGCAGAGGACTTCACATGCCCTGTCGGACCCCAGCTGAGGGCCACCTGCTTCCCTTGCCCTCACTGCTCCTTCCGGGTCCTCTCCACCCCCTGCACCAGCTGGAGCTCGCTGTTAGCAGGGCAGCTGCCTCCCGGCGGGCCCTGGCTGCCCTCTACTGCAGACACAAGCCAGGCAGGGCCAGGAGGAGTGTGGGAGGGTGCAGCCTGGGGTTCTGCCCTGTCCAGGGGGCTGGAGACCACGGGGCGGCCACAGGGCACAGATGGGAATGTGCATGAGTGCAGGCCTGTGGACCGGGAGCTCGGTGCCACCCTGTGGCTCGCCCCCAGAGGGAGCCAGGCCCCCCGGCTTGCAGGCACCGTGAGGACTGGAGGAGACGGCCACCTGGGACGCGTGGCCCCGGAAACACGGGGGCAGCCTGCGCCCCCAACCCCCTCAGGCCTGGCGGAGGGCAGCACCCAGCCCAGGGTACCCCAGCACCTCCTGGTGCAGTCACTCCCACCCCCACCCTGTCCTCCAGGTCTCCCAGAGCAGCCACTTCCTGAGGAAGTCTCCCTGACAGCTCTGGAAAACTGCCTGCGGCTCCCTGGAACCCTGAAGCCCAGGACCGGCCTGCTCTGAGCTGGCTTCTCCCCCCTCGCCGGCCCCCCACCCCACACAGCAGTCTCCAGCTCCCCCCTCGCCGGCCCCCCACCCCACACAGCAGTCTGCAGCGGAAGTAGAGGATTCACAGGCCCTTGGGGCAGGAAGCCCCTCCCCACCCCACACACACACAGTTCACACCCATGTCCACCCCCAACTTGCTCAGCCTCTGGCATTTCAGCCTCTGCAGCCTAGCAGAGAGAACTGCGGCTCTTCCTTCCTGCTGGGCAGGCAAAGGCCGAGCCCTTCCCAGCTGGGCTGCTGCACTGAGGACCGGCCTGCGCTGGGCGCGTCTGCTGTGGTTTCGTGGCCCCATCTGATTTCAGGGAGTTGGTGCTCTGCTCCCTGGGGAGAGAGAGCACCCCTGGAGGCCTGGCTGCAGGACCCTCACTGCCAGAGGCTGCAGAGCCGTGCCTTGACCCCACTGCCCAACTCAAGGAGCTCAGGTAGGCAGACGCACCCCAAGTGCACTGGCCTGGCAGGGAAGGGCCCGAACGCCCCTTGAGCTGACCGTGGGGGGCGCCGCCCGCGCTCTGCCCACCGTGCAGGTATCATAGGGTATCACAGGGTCGCCAAACTCAGCCTCTTGCAAGGACCTCAGGGCACGAGCGGGGAGGGCCTGAGCAAAGCGGTCACTAGGAGCAGAGACAGCCCGGGGCCTCACCCGGTGGACAGACGGAAGCAGAGCAGCGGAGACCCGACCGTCAGGTCAGCGGCTGGCAGCAGGGGGAGCGGCGGGGCTGGAGCGGGCAGGGCGGGCCGAGAGCCTGAGCCCGCCACTGTGGGCCACGGAAAAGGAGAGAAATGGGAAGATTCCATAAAAGTGAAGGAGGAAACAAACTTGAAAAGGCAACATCAACATCACAAGCTCGGGGCAACTGGCGGCTCCCATAGGCTGCTGGTGGGTTCCTGAAGTTCCTCGGGAACTGAGTGTTTTCTCCTAAGATTGAGCAGAGACTTGAGCTGTGGCCCAAAAATTAACTTCCAAGCCAGGCACTGAAGCTTAAGCACAGCGACTTACAGAAGGTTCACAGGACATCATGTAGAAGCTGCCCACAGGCCTTAGGAGCGGGAAAAAACACAGTTGTGAGATAAAAGTGAAAGACGTGGTTATGTGCAAGACAAATTAGACTTTTAAAGCCAGGCTGTAACTGGCGAGGTGCCAGGGCACCGACACGTCACGACATAAAACCCCTCCAGCGAACCTAAACCGATGTGACTTCGGTGCAGGCCCAACTGAAGTGGGAACATATGAAAAGAACCTTACACCGCTGAGCAAGTGAAAGTCTTCCTTACTTAATTTTTAGGGGTCTCTGTAGCACTAAAATAAACATATAATCTAACATGACACACCACATACAAAAAAGTGTGAAAATCGCACGATCATCTCAGTCGATCCAGAAAAAGCATTCAATAAACTTCAATATCCACTTACTAGGTATTTTAAAATCCTGAGCAAAACGGGCCAGAAGGACGCGCCTGGACATGAAGACCTGCGGGACAAACCCACAGCCAACACTGACACCCCGCTGAAAACCAGAAGTCGCCCCCAAGCCCAGGAGGACCCCACTCTCGCCAGCGCCCCGCACAGCCAGTCCGCGCGGAGGTCCCGGCGCGAGTGGACGAGAAGGGGAATAAAACGAGAGGAGGAAGCAAAACGATGGCTATTAGCAGAGGCTGTGAATGGACCCGGGACACCCCCGCGTTGGCCCAGACGCTATCAGAAGGAAATGCGGACTACAAAACCGGCACACCAGAAATCTGCTGCATTTATATACACAAAAAGCTCCAGGAAGAGAGCGCGGACGACCCCATTTACCCCATTTACATCAAAAGCGTAAAACCCTCCTGATAAATTTAGCCAGAGGCGAAAGATGGGTCCAGCGAAAACCACCGGTCAAGGTCGCGAGAAATAGACGGCACAAAGAAATGCCATGGATTGGGGGCTGGACAGTGCTGGGGCAATTCCCAACAAAACCCCAACGGGCCTCAATGCTCAAAAATAACGGCAAAAGTCACAAAATGCGACCGCCTGGCTCCCGGCGGCAGGGTGCGGCCGCCTCGGGCTCCCAGACAAGGCAGCAGGTCTGCACCCCGCGCACCGCA